CCATGCATGCAAACATCCTTTCAGCGCAGTGGAAAAACGTCATTTGCACAACAAACTCTTAATCAAACTTAAATCGAAATGCTGACCAGAACATAACTAACGACCTATAAATTTCACTTCTACAATCACCACTACGACCACCCCTATTTTGTCCGTAATATTGATAGTGATGGTATTTAATTTGTGTTCAGTATGCTATCGATTATTTGTCATATAAATTACTGTTTTTCCTCTTTTCTCAGCGTTTTAAATTCTATGCATATAAATTTTACTATAATATACAAATATTTAGTGTTTTTAGCCTATTGTCCTGAGATTTTGATTGCTGATGTCATTGCTGTTGCGCAAAGATTGTCTACGTGATTTGTGATATCCTTTATGTGTGTATATTCGTATACAGTTTTGTGTAATTTGATACCTATAAACCATCGTTATACGTATATGCTTCATTATTATGCATTTTAATTATCTCAAGTCGCCGGTAGCTCTATGATTTCCTGGTAAAATGATTTATTTAATGATATTTTAGTTTTTGTTTCTTTCCCCTAAAGTAAGGATTTTAATAATTCGACATGTGAACATATTCTATACATATGTCGATATTCTGACCTGTTTTTAAACTATACATTATTTTTATTTTTGCCTTTGTGTCAGTTCGATTTAAATTGTTGATATTTTTAAAATTTTCCAGTCCCCAATTGTCCAACATATGCAGCTTGAGGAGAACCTAAATCAATTACTGTGTCTCTAGCGTGAAAGCGTAAGAACGAAACAGTATTAAGTTGTGAGTCGAAAAGGCCTATTTCTCAGTATATGTTATCTCGGCAGGGATATTTTAATTAATTTATTATTATTATAATATAATCGAGTAATTATAATTGTTTATATCTATGCTTTAAGGAAGGAGACCACCAGCACTTTCTCAGTATTCCGAAAGTATATCATTTGCGTAGTAGCCTTTGAAAGCCTTTGACGCTGACAGCGTCGAGCAGATTCTTAACGCTTGCTGAAGCACATTTAAGTAGGGAGATCTTTCTATCTCAATCGATACGTTTAAATTAAGCAAGCACGCCCTTGCAATTTGTTTTCATTTTTCAAAACAAGGCAAAGAACGGATCTTTACAGCACCGATATATTTTTATTATTGTCAATAACCTTTACGGTCACAAAGCTGCTTTAGCAACCAAAGTTACTGTAGTGTTTATAATCGATATCAAATATTTCCCATTAAACTCTAAATAAAGGAGAGGATTTTCTGTCATTTTACATCAATTCTCCTTTAGATGGCGTTACGCAGATGTTTTGCGTGCATTATATTAATAATTATTACAAGTTTTTGTAGCTCATAGTAAACAAAGTGTCGGAGTTTGCACACGCCTGACTTTATCTAATAGACACAGTTATTTGGTCATCAACATTCTTAGCAAAATGCATTTTCCATTAGGATAGCAACTTATTTATTTATGCACATGGTTTACAGGTTTTATTCTAAGCCTGTAAAATTATCTCATAAATTTGCATTTAATTATCTTTTCTTTAAAAATTTGGAAATAAATCTAACATGTACAAACAAATATCTTTCGAATTTCAAATGCAAATGCATTTGGCAAATGAACAGGCAAATGAATGTAAGTCCAATTTAAATTCAAACACCCCGAAGGTGTTGTGAAAACGTTAGAACATAAATACATAAAATTTAGCAAATTCTTGTTCAACTTAAATTACAGGACATTTTTTATGAGCACTTAACTAAAGTGGATAGAGTAAAGCTATAGAATGTGCCTCTTCCAATTTTATTTTGTTTAGAAAGTCCATTTAACCATTTAACTTATGTCCTTTCGCAGTAATCTCCCCAAGAGTATGTTATTACTTAATAAGCCATTATGGCGTCTAAAGTCCGCTCACAAAAATCCTCCCTTAGCTTGCTTGTTTTCGTATGTTTAATTTAGCCTGAAATTTTTGTGGTTTTCTTAATTGATTATTTTGTTGTGGTAACTACACTTCTTGGCAACGTGAAAACGAAAAAAAACTATTTTAATAAATATCCCTCCACCACTTTCAGTTGCCACATGTATCGCACCGCAGAAGACGTGTGCATGAAATCAAGACACCCTAACCACAAATATTTTTGGACAGCTGCTGAGTTTTGAAATTTTGGAAAAAATATTACAATGCTTTAGCAAATTTTTGATCACTTCTAAATTTCATTAAGAAGTTACGTTCGATTTTCTTCTACCTGGGCTAGTTATTAAGATACGCGTGACCCCTTCTTTGTGGAAATTTCAAAATTGCAAATGTTAAGATAGGAAGCTGAAGTTTTGCCTGCGCATGTTAGGATGATTTTGAAAAATCAAATTTAAAAGAACGAATACAACAAGCCCAGAATCCCGCCCACAATAAGCAAAAAAGTGAAAATATCGATAACTTATTTGTATTATGATGATATTGTGCGTTGTATGCAAATGAATTTTTACAACAGAAAGAATATTCTCAATTTGTATTATGGAAAGAACGAGTGATCGTTAAAAAGGTGAACAAAAATCGTTTTTGCATTTGTAGGAATTAATTTTATACATTTTCCACAGCAAAATCATGTAATTACATAAATACAAGAAACGTAACTTAAAACTCGTTAAAACTAAAATAAGAGCTAAACTCATCTGAAGCAAAAAGACTACTCATACACACCCAGCCACACCCAGGTAATTTGAAATTAAATTTTAGCTAATTAACTTTTCAATCAATTCAAAAACTTCTTAAGGGAGTGTATGTACGTTTATAGGAGCATTTAAACATGATGCGTAAAATATATTAAAAGAGGACTAGTGTCACGTCTTGCACGATCAGTTTTTCGAAGCTGAGGGATAACTTTCCAAACAACTTTCCGACAGCGTTTTCGCGAGAGGGTATGTTAAGTCAGTGAGGAACTATATAACGCATAGGAAGTTTTCACAAATTTGGGGTTCACGAGGTTTGATCGTGTTTTCACTTACGAATTTGTCCTATTGAAAATGGATCGAATTTGATTATTTTAGTCCGCTTATAACGCCTTATTTTGGGGAAGTTGTTATATGAAACGGAATTGCAATTCGCTAAGTAAAACAGTTTTCTGAATCACTAAGTTGATGTACGAAATTTGAAGCGCGTGAGCCGATTTTTCTAACTCATCCCCGTATAACTTCCTAATTCCTATGAAAACGTATCCTATAACTGGCAGATATGTTCAATATTTGCTATTTTATGAGAAAAATTTGTCTACAATAACTATTTCACCTAAAAATAAACTGTCTACGTCTACTTTTTGGATACACAGCCCCACTTTCTTCAGTAAAGTGAATTCATATGTGTGTTTGTAGCGACAAAGTGTAATTTTTAATACTTTATGATAAAAATAGGTGAAGGGCAATACGACCTTTAATAAGGTAATTAATTCTGTTAAATATGGATCACGTCAATTAACGTGTTAGACTCCATCCATGTTTTTGCTTGCTTTAACTGTGCTTTATTTGGGCTATTTATCCTTTTTTTTATCGAAATAAACCAATGATATGGTTATACTTATTTTCCCGTTAGGTTAACGGCGTGTATAAAATATGAATCTGGTGTGGCTGAGGGTATGTTTGTTTTAAGAAGTATATATGCTTTTTCAACCTTCTTAATTCGCCAATGACTTTGTTGATCAACTCGAAGTTAACGAAAAAATTATTAATTTTCATGAGTTCATATTAAAGAGTAGGCGTTCAATATTCATTTCAAGGTCGATATAATTTTGATTTTTATTATTTTTATTGCTTTTATAAAGAAGCTATAGTGGGTATTGTATAGTGGGATTGCCAAAATTTGCATATGCTGCGTAAACTTTTCACATGTATAGTACGTTCGTCAACTTTTATATATCGCACCTTTTCATTTTCGCTTATTGTTGTATGTGTCCTCTTGCTTACATAAGAATTTCTTACACTAAAAGTCGGACAATGGGCGTCCATTAATTTTCTAATACTTTTTGCAAAATTCACACGAATAGAATCATAGAAATGTATATATCGCATTGTCCTAGTTGTACGCCTTGAACGAGTATGTGCTTTGTGAAGTTTTTATAAGGTTACCTTGTTGGGTGGGTACGCAGAATTCATTTCAAATTGTATATAGTTATTTGCTTATTTTGCTTATGTTCCTTGTGTTGGTTTAAGGTTAAGTGAAAAGGCTGCTTCTAGATTATAGCCACACACACACTATAGGCACACTTTTACGCTACTCGTGCCGCCGTTATACCTAATACCGTTTTCATGGAGATGCGTTAATCAATCGCATAAGTCACAATAGAATTGAACAACTTTTCCGTTTGTTTTATGTTTGTCTGCACCTGTATATCTGCCAGAGTGCAACATTGCCAAATGGATTTTCATTAAGTAAACGCGTTTGTTTGTTTGATTACACACGTTGTTGTCGTTTTGTTGTTCATTTGAGAAAAAACTCATTTTCAAGTATTTTCTAAAATTTTTGTATCTAACTTCTCTTGTTTCTTCTATAGTTGAAAATATATTAAATGAATGTTTGTTACAATGCTGTCCTTGACTATCTACAGAGAATAAATGTAGTAGTCGATAGGATTAGAAAGAGATTATACAAACTTCGAACAAGACTGAACAATAAGAATTTCAAAATAAATTTTGCTTATCCTTGTATCTTCATATTCTCATTAATTTAATAAGAAATTCATAAAAGAGCTTCTGTTATATTCTGTCATCCATACTTAATAGTCAAATTTAAAGTATTAAGTTATTGCTTTAAAAAGTATTATTCTTAGTGAAAACTAATTAAAATTAAAAACTATACAAACGATAAAAGGCGGCGCATTTCAATGGATTTATGCTATGTATTAATGAAATGTATCGTTTTCCCAAATGCCTGCAATAGCTCTAGAAAGCGTATCTTCAATATAAATAAATAAATTACGGTAGTAATTGAAGCATAAGTACTTGCATAAAATTACATCTCACCTGGCTGACAAGCACATTCCTGTAGAGAAACTGTTGGGGCTAAATGTTCATTTGATGCCGCAGCTCCCAGTGTCTGACGTCTTTGTTGGCGTCTAGTTAATTGCAATTGGGATACGTCACGTCTCAGACGATGCAATTCCGTCACTTGGCGTGTGAGTAAACGAACAGCTTGTGTTACATCTTTGGCATTTTCCAAATGTAAAATATGCAAATTTTTGCGATCATTGTCCGCGACGTCGACCAAATCATTACGACCGCCATCATCGACATTTGCAGCAACATCGTCATCGTCTTCATCGTCGTTATCTTCGGGATCATCAAACTCAGACGCTTGTCGAAGTTGCTGCGTATGTTGTTGCAACTGCAATTCGATATCGGTGATGCGTTCGTCCAGCAAATGTAAATGCCTTAAATTGTGTTCGCTTTGTCGAGTTTGTCTTACATTGCAATACAGTGAAAACGCCAATGAAGTAACGCACATCACGTAGAAAAATAAATTTAACAAAGATAGAGGAGTTTTCCCAGCAAGACTGCAGCCACCAGAACTATCATTTCCACCAGATGCAGATGTTAATGCCATTAAGGATTTCATAGGAAATACAGGTATCAGTGTTGTTTTACTTTTACTGCTGTTATTGTTAGTGTTATTGGAATCTAAATTCTGTTGTTGTCGTGGAGGCTGTTGATGAAGGTTTCTTTGTTGTTTTCTACTATTTAACGCGCTATGTGTAGGACTACTATTATTTAGTCCTTGAAGGCGACTAGATGTTGCAGTTGATGTATTCATATCTATTGCTTGTATAAGTGGTGCCTTTGGCATATGTTGTGCTGCATGTGTTGTGTTCGTATGATGGGAAACGTTGGATTCCGTGCTCCTCGTGATGGCTAGCGCGGCTGGATTATTTACTTGCTGTTCGGTGCTCATATTACTACCCAAGGCCATATCATTAACAATATTTTTATTGTACTGTTCCATATTGTTGTCTTGATATGTCAGCTTTTCTATGTTACAATCTACACCAGTTATGGTTGTTTTAAAATTTGTACCCAACGCTCTTGCTTGCTTTGTCGACCCTAGCTGAGAGGGTCTCTCACCGCTTCGCTGCCATCTCATATCACCAACCGCTCATTTCATTCAACCAACCAGCCGTTCACTTCCTAATGTTCGCGGAGCATTACAGTAAAGAATAGCACTTTTCTTAAACAAATGTTTTTATTTTTTCGATTGTGTCGTATGACTTTAAGAGCAAAGTATAAATGGAAATATATCTTTTGAAGTTTAGCTGTAAGTTTTAGTCTTTGAGTGACTCGTGTTTCTAAAACTTTTATTTGTATTTGAGGTAATTGCTTTTATTCTGTTCTAACAAATGGCCTTTGTTGTCATCAAATCATGCGAAAGTAAATCAAACTGCAACTACTGATGCTGATACTTTTGTTGTTACTTTTAATGCCCCGATGTTGATGATGTTGCTGTCCTTGTAAGACAAGCATTTAAAACCGCTTGTAGGCATCACATGCAAGCATAGATATTCGGTTTATGCAGTTGCATTTGCTTTTAACAATAATGTATATGAATGACTTTTCTTTTGGCAGACGTTGTGATGCTTTTTGTGCTGTAGCTGAATAGAATGTTTTTCAACTTGATTTTTCTGCATTAGAGACATGGAAAACTGCGTGCTTTTATATTTAATCTGTATGTATATGTTTTAGCATCACGGTTTATTTTTTTTCAATCTTGCTGCCGTTATTATTACCCTGCTCACACAGGACTTATCGTATCAATCGGAAATACGCACTGCCGTCTCCCCATTCGCTGATTATCAGTATGTAGCGTACCTTGTTAGAACTACAGCGTTTAGCAAATGTCATACGTGCTATGCTTACCTTATATCGACTTAGTGAAGAAAAGGATATTTTTCATTTTTGAATCGTTTCGTTTAAAGTCAATTCTGTGTGTGGTCTGAAACATTCATAGTATTGTTGAGAAGTTTTTTATTTTTCTTTGTTTTTCATTACTATAAGTTGTGCTCCGGTTTGACAAGTTTTTGACAGTCTTCCTTTAACAAAAAGAGATGACTGAGCGAGATTTACGATTTTTGCTTTCTTTGTTTATTTCTTTGGTGTTCTCTTCCGTTCTCTTTTTATTTTTTTTTTTTTTTTATATGACTGTTGATAACACTTTTTCGGCACTTTATTGTTGTCAGCTTAGTTATTGTTCAGTTTAATTTAGAAGTTGTTCAAAAATGTCTTTTCTGCGTTTAGTCTTTGCTGTTGAAAAGAAAAATAAACGGGAAAGAAATTAGTTTATTTAAAAAAAGTAAGCTAATTAAAAAACTTTAAGAAAGTGAAGGAATCTCTATTTTCGCGCTTATTTACACTTGCAGATGAAAACAAGTTATTTCTAAGGACGCACATTTCAATTTCAAGGACAGGGGGGATTGAAACAATCGATGAAATCTCTGACTAAAGCAATACAATTTCACCGAATAGTTAGCAAGCACGGCAAATTCAATTGCATTACGTCTAAACACTTTTAATTAGATGTCATTGCATCGCTACGCTTTACAAGAAGAGTACCCAATGCTCAAGCTAATGGAAAACTCAAGGAAATTTTTATAGCTTGACAGTGCCAGAAGCATTTAAGTTCAATCCAAGATCATTACAAATCCGAGCGAATCGATGGTTTCAGTTGAAAATAAAACACGTCTTCAGGTACTTCTCTAGTTTATACTGCACTTAACTTTCGAATTGTGAGTCCCTTGTTACTGTATCATCGTTTCTTTTGTTGTTTTTTATTTCACCTCTTCCGAAATAACTTTATCGATGCCTTTTCTCATGTTGTGTTTTATATTATGTTGCCTATGCTACCCAAAATGCTAAATTGTTCAAACATATAAGTAAATCAAAAAATTATCCAAATTTTTACGTTGTGCCGAAGAAGCGCTAATCCAACACAAACACTTAATGCGTTTCCATAAATAATATTAATCCTGTTACCTAAGAACGTATTCTCTAATAATAATGGGGACACGGATGGCTAATAAAAATATAATGCACATTAGCTTAAGAAGCAGACGTATGGGTATGGATAAGTGAATAAACATCTAAGCAGATAACAAAATTATGTCGCCTCAAAGCAGGATTTAATAACTTTGCTCCAAAAGTAGCGTAGAATTCCCTGGAAAATTGAGCCAATACATCTTTGACTTGTAATTTTGCATTTGCATCCGAAATAATTCCGATAGTACCTTTTTTTTAATTATATGTAAGATTATCGGTATATGCATACAAGTATACATAAACGACTACACGCAAAAAAAGGAAAATTAACTACAAAGAAAAGTTTAAAGAAATTTTCTTCGGTTCTCGCAGGGTAACGCAAAAGTATAAGACAAGCAAAAGTTAAATTAAATATAAAGTTCATTTAATCAAAGTCATGTTTTACACTAGAGGTTAAGTATATAGTCAGACATATTCATGCATTTGCACTCATAAGCACACACAGACAGGCAAAAGTACAATATTTGTAAAAGCGTAAAGTTAAGTGAACAGCAGCTGATTTCATTAAATATTATGTCTCGCCTCGTCTCATCTATTACGGTAAAGTTTCACGTCTCGTCGTCTGTGTTAAGATTTCACGAGAAAGAGTTTTTCGTTTTATAACTTATTGAGATAGTCGAAAAAGTCCTTTAAGAGACTTCATTAATAGAGGTGTATTTAATTCGATACATGATAATTTTCCTATAATTAACCCTGTTAGGAGCGATGTTAAAGGTAAACAGGTGATTAGCTTTAGGAGCATATGTCCCTTCGTTTATCAAACATATTCAAAAGATTATTGAAATGTGTAACGAGATTAAATTAGCTTCGGAAGAAGCATCTTGTGATTAAGATTTGGACTTAGACAGCCCTTTCAGTCAATACTTAATTCTAAAGATATCTGAGGATGATGATCCCGATACATCCTTGTTGAGTGTTATAGTATTCCCGAAATTATGGGAATCCATATTTCGATTCCAAGTCACGCCGATTTATTCAGTTTTCTCATTTGCTTAACGCTAAGCTTTATAGCAATGTGCACACAAACGCAATCACCAGACACCTCGAACAGTTGTTCTATACTCACATCAATGTGCTTGTGTGTAGATGCAATGTGCAGTTTCTCCTTTTTTTATATTTATTCAGGACAAAAACAGACTCGTAAATTAAAAGTAAAAAAGAATAGAAGTAAAAAAGATTGTGGAAAAAAGGTTGAATTGGCTTGTAAGGATAAATAGTTATGTGTAAGGGTGCGTGCAGGACCAGAAACGGCTGTCTGGCTGCGTATGTGTAAATATGCACAAAAGTAACGTAGTAGTGTTGAAAATAAAGAGAGGTAAAGTAGAAAACTTTGCTTGGCATGTGGCTGTTGCTGTTGATATTTTGTAGGTACTAGTAAAAAAACTAAACCTGGCGAGGCGTGTATGTATGTTAGTTGTTTATTCGTTTGTCGGTTTTGTTGTAGTTAGCAAAAAGAACAAAGCAAACGAAATTAATGCGTACTTATACGTGTAACTGTGAGTATGCGAGTACATTAAAGTCAATTTTATGTTTACCGTAGTTTTAGTTTGAGTTAATTGTAATTCCTTTCCTTTTTTCCAAACAGCGATCGGCTTTGTCTACACAGTTACTGGAATTTTTCTACACATAAATAAATGAACTACAAGCTAAACGTGTGTGCATAAACATTGCATATACATTCATCACAATGAAAAGAAACTAAAACTGAGAAATATTTGGCTAAGCAGAATTATTTAATAAGCAAATTAATGCCACGAGTCCGGATATGATGGTGAATAGTATTAAATCACTATCATTTTTATCTACGAACCGAATTTATTCACTTTCGAAATTTATAAGTGTTGAGCATCGCAACCGAATACGACTATTCGATTATTCTTAGATTCAATCGACAGCGTCGAGAATTTTTTACATAAGAAATTTTGCATCTCAACTACATTGCTACGACAAATTTATGAATTTATTAATCGACATAGTCTTTACTCGACCACAGAATGCTACTTAAGTTCATTCAGAATCTTTACGTTCAGGTAAGAGGCTGTAGAACAATCAAAGGGATTTGAATTCATAAATACAAGTACACTTCATCCGCACCATATCGCCATCAAATTAAATATGTTTCTCCAAGAAGTTTGCACTTCAGTTGTTCCAACTTTAAGGCGATTTACGTTGTGAAATTATTTATCTACGATCGCTATCACTCTTCAAATTTTTTAAATCTGAGGAAATAAGAAAATAAGTAGAAAGAAGAATGAAGAAGCATTTAGTTTAGGGTGAAGCCATTTGTGAGTACATACATTGCCATCATTTAAAAAAATTGTTTTTTTGATTTTGTTATCTCTTGAATCTCTTCATCCAATTAAGCCAAGAATGCTTAATAATATATTTTATCGTTTGGCTTGTTTCTGTGCGGTAGCTTTGGTTCACTTGGCCATTTTCGTTAATTCTCCTGTTTTCGATCTGAAACTATCAAGCAGTCTTCGAATTATCGTAGAGTTTTAACTGTTTATACAACTTTTGGCACTCAGAAGTCCGGAGTACCCCCTGGTTATAAAAGTTATATTAGAAGATATTGTGCGAGTATACTCAAAATTAAGCAAAAATTTTGATATCCAAAATTTTTACGCAATAATGAGGCGAAGAATTGTATAATGTTAGTGAGTGCTATAATGAATTGATGTCCTCTTTCACTAGAATTTTAAATATAATCAGACTTTTAATCCTGTTGTCGCATATGATAACTAACGTCGGGTAGCAACATCGAACAGTACGTTTTACAAAATCAGAAGTGATGGAGTTTCTTTTGTCAAAAACCCCTCTTCAAACACTTTTTTAAAGTATATTGAGCAATAAGTAGTCCTGACCTTGATGCTCTTGGAAAATCAATAAGCCATTTTTGTATCTCGCTTGAAAGTAAGAATGGAAAACCATTGAAAAGTCTAAAGCAAAGCTTAAGAACACATTAAACAATTACTGCATATGTTGTTACTCTCAGGTGTCATATTCGTTCTTTGTTTTTCTCTTAAACTCTGTCTGATGTACACCCTAAATTGTGTTTGTTGTTACCGGCTTTCGGTTTAAATCTATGGGAGCAATTCAAACGCAATCGTAAAGTTGTACCTTTAGGTCTCTGTGTGCATGTGTTCATGTACGTACGTGCATGCTCTAAGAGATAAGTTCTATACATTTTATGTGGCTGTAACGGTATGTTGTATTGTTCAGTTGTGCGGAAAGAATAAATTTAGCAAATAAATAACTATAACCATAATCCTTTTCAATATCGTAAGTTTTCAGAGTTTCAATTCTGGGCACGAAAAACAGAAAACAACCAATAAACTACAGCCAATGGCAGTAACTACAAAACACCTCTTAGGATTCTCTCGCTTTCTACATTTTCATTGCAAACAAAAGCATAGGAATACCAACAAGTGTGCGTTGTGTCTTTGGCATGTGCTATGAATCTGAGTATTCTCATCAGCATTAACGTTGCTTTTGCTGCTGCTGCTTGCCCTCATCATTATCGTCATCATCACTATCGTTATAGATTGAACGGTCGACTTGACTTGCTTGGTTAGTGTTATATGATATCTACACTTTTTCTAAACACATCTGTTTATCTACATAACTGTACAAACTATAACACATAAGTATGAAGTTTTAAATGCACACACATACATATATATATACATATATATACATATATATATACTTGCATATAACTGCTCGTAAGTTATCCGCTTGCAAACGACCACACACTGAAACGCCCCGAAAGTTAAACCAAAATAAAAGCAGCAAAACACAAATGCCTGCATTTACTTTGTCCGCATTCAATACAACAGAAACAACAGACCGTAAACCTTTTTTTCCATTTTTTTTTTAGTGGTTATACGATTTTTTTTTTTCTTATTGTACTTTTTTCTTCACTTCAGTTTTCATACTTAATTTGCATTTCATTTCGAACGCTCCATCGCTGGAGGTAAGCAAACCAATCATTTGCAAGAACACTGAAATGCAAAAACAAATACTCGGAACTATACTCTGTAATCACATGACAACAACTAAATGACTGACCGACTGATTGACTAGCTGCCTGAATGTCTTATATCAGTTCGATATGATTTTGCGGTTTGTCTCTGTGCGGTTTCTTTTCCCTCTTTTTTTCTCTTTTCAATGTAATCATGATTAGATTGACTTATTGCCAAAATACA